GGGGCAACTAATGTAAGGGGGCACTCTGATGGGGGCAACTAATGTAAGGGGACACTCTGATGGGGCAACTAATGTAAGGGGACACTCTAATGGGACAACTAATGTAAGGGGGCACTCTGATGGGGCAGCTAATGTAAGGGGGCACTCTGATGGGGCAGCTAATGTAAGGGGGGATTGATGGAGTCAAAGCAAAAATATGAGATTCAATCCTCTGCTGGAAGAAAATTTTACTGGACCTCCTTGAATTGTAATTGAATGGCCCTGCTGCAGTGTATACAATTACATAGTAGTCCTGTCCTGGGGTGTACACGGAACATTACACAGCAGTGCCCGTGAGTCAGTGCCGATGAGTCAGTGCATCCAACACCACCGTACGACTTGTTATCTTAGTTGATCAATTTCCTTCTCTGATTGCAGCAAGACGAGGAGATAAAAGATCCAGTGAAGCGCGGAGATTGAATTCCCTCGGACAATGAAACAAGCCATGCATACACAGAGCCGGAGGTGAAGGGACAGGAAGTCAAGCTCTGTCACCTCTGGCTGGGCTATTTCTGGTGCTGCGGATCGGCGGAGGGCTTTGCTGCATGCAGCTGCGCTTCAATCGACCAATGAGGCGACACGACATCTCCGGGACATGCTGTAACCTAACCGAGGGAATAACTGCTGCTCGCTCGGAACCATTCCGCTGGATTCCACCATTCTTATCTGGGATAACTAACTAAGATGTGATATGTCTAAACGCATTACATCTGCGCTGTAGCCATGCAGAATTGGGCGCTGTTTATGCGCGAGGACGGCTGCGCCTGTAATGTCACCCTAATTGTGAAGTGTACAGGGATTGTTACCAGTGACAGCAGTGCAGAGCCATCGTTACAGTATCCCCCAGAAGTGAGTACAACCAGGGGGCGTAACTAGAAATCACAGGGCCCCGTAGCAAAATTTTGTATGGGGCCCCCGTGATTGCTAGTTATGCCCCTTGCAGAGCCCACCGGAGAGTGACCCTGCAGAGCCCGCCATTGACTCTCTATGGCGGGCTCTGCAGGGTCTCAGATGGGCTGCACACCTCTTACCTGTCAGCGCTGTCCGCCTCCGTGGTCGCCGGGCCCCCGCCTCCT